CCAACCCTCGGCTGAAAGAGTATGCATTATCTGACGATAGCGAAAGTTTATGCTGAAATACGCGAGATACGAAACCGAGAAAACGCTCTCGAGTCGCATTACGCGTTCTTTTCAAAAATGTGCAGCACGTAACTACGATGATATTACATAATATTAATTGCGCTAATATTTGGCTCTTTCTCTCCTTACGATTATAGATTTCTCACAAGGTTGATTACATCTAGTTTTGCCGCGTAATCTTTGAACAATTGTTAAGAATATAAACTTTTTCAACGGATTGCGGAGAATAGAATTTTTGCATTAGTTTAAAATTTTGTTAATTAAAATCCCAGAATGAGTTCGAATTACACTTGGAAGATCTGTGTTGCTTACAATGAGATTCTGCTACGTGTGGCACACGTTGACACGAAGATCTTTGGTATACTTTCATATTAGGCCGACGGCATGCGAAGGAATGTAAGCACAATAAGACTGGAGCGGTAAGCGTATCGATCAATTGAACACTTTCATATGATATAACAGCACGTGATGGACGTATACTTTTGGATTTATTGTAATTTTTAAATTCATTGTAATGAAAATTCTATTGCGTTCTGACGTCACGACTAAGGAATAATCAGCTGATCGATGATTGGAATTCTTGCCTTACTTCTGGAAGTATTATGATACGTGCTTTTCCTTTTAATATATCCTGCTATTTCGATATTAAAAATTCCTGTACGCGTTAATGTAAAAATGCATTTTTTTTGCTGAAAACTTATGATGTAACGTATGACATATTCTTGCGCAAAATATTTATTTCGAGATTCTTTTATTTTTTCCTGATACTCTTCTCGTTTCCTGTTTTTTTGTCAAGACACTTCTCTTTATCGCGAATTTTAATAGCGTGCGCGGTTTTTGTGGTTAGCAACCGCTGCTAAATAAATGATTAATCGTATTTGTTAACCGGCTAACAAAGCTTACGCTCAGTTTTATTGTGAGATACTTAATTGCTTTAAAGGCACAGTTTTTCTGCTTTTTAGTACTTATATTTTTTCAAGTCACTGAATCTGATGTCAGATATGAAACCGATTTTTATATTTATTTATATTTATTTAGAATAATGGAATTACAGTGATACAGTTTTTTTTTCGCATATTTGTTGCATGCAAAAAATTTGAACTTATTAAAATTGTACAAATTATTAAATTTTTGTTGTGTGTAAATATTCCAGCGATTTATCTTTTTCCTCAAGCATTTATTCTTAGTTTCTTATCTTTGTACTTTATCAGTGTAATTGAAGCCGAAGTCATCGGTTTGTTTATAAATGCACAGTATTACGGTACTTCATTTCGATGATCATATATCGAGCAACGTTCGATTGATCGATAAAATTCCAAAGCACTAATTGTAAGATATTTTATACGCGTTATCGATGTCATCACAGTCCTAGAACGATTCATTGATGTGTGCAATTCTGATTTAATCATTGAATTCTATACATATGTATAGAGAATTCTTCTTTTTATATGTACAAGCCACAGAAGCCTGTGGACCGCCGAAGAGGGCAAACAGATTAGCTGCAATCATTTTTATCACAACTTTCTGATTTACAATATCATATATTTTTGCACCTTGACATTCGGTATTTCGACATGTTTGCTAAGAAAAATTAATCTTCAATTTATCGTAGAATTTATTATTGGAATTAAAGTTGTGAATTTTATGGAACACCCAACATATATATCTTTATATAATTTTTTGATCATATAATCTGTAATCGACGAGTGAAAAAACGTCTTGTTTGAACAGCGTATATAAACACCCGCTGCACGATATGCGATGAAAATATTTTTGCAAAATGTGCTCTCTTGGATAAACAATTAAATAACACATTTTACCATATTTATCAGCGCAATTTGTATTATTTTTAAAATTATTTTCTGTACTCTATGCATTTTATCCCAGTACTTTGCAAAAATTAACAGGAAAACTTAGTGTTTATCAAGATAGAGCCGAATCTTATTGTTAGTTAAAATACATTATAAAATAAATTTGTACGAAAAATATTCTACATTTTCGGTTTACTCTTGCATAAGGAAACATTTTTTTTTTTGGTTATTTGATTTGCATTTTCTGATATATTTCGTGTACGAAGCATTGTGTTAATTAAACATATTTATTTAAGTAAGAAGAGTGAGAAAAATATATTTATTTTTACTCTAAATTTTTTACTTGAAAGAGGAAGAAGCTTTTTTGTAATAATAAATATGCATTATTTTAAAAACACAATAACAAAAATTAAATTTGCGGAAATGTGAAATTTGTAAATGCTCAAGAAAATAAATATTAAATTTAACTTTGAAAGAAGTAAAACAAGATACAAATCTCTCTAACAGGTTTACTTCATCTTGCGAAACACTTTTATGGTTGTCTTTTTCTACTTTTATGATTGTTGACTTTTCACTTCAACGTATATTTGAGATCTTAGCATACAATGATAGATAACGAAAAACTTTAAATGTTCCATTTTGAAGCGTGCGACATATATTAAATCATGCACAAGTAAACATTCTGAAATCCTACTTGAATTAAATTCTATTGCATCACAACTTCACATATTTTATGTCTCGTGTTTATTCATTCATTTATCGCAAGAGTTAAAAGGCGCTTGAATTGCTTCCATTATATTACTTGTGTGAAAGAATCATCCATTTGATGTTGGAGTTTCTCATTGAAAGAAAAAAATTTGTTGAAGTTGTTGATATAAATTATATCGTGTAATAATATAACATACATGTTATAAAATTGGATTAGTAGAACATTAGTTAACAATCTTTTTCTTTTTCCAGATGTCCCACGATCACGCAGGTCATATAATGCCGAACAATACGGGGGGTCATGCATCTCACGATACGCACACGGGTCATCTGCATCACGGTAGCATGGACCACAGCAGCATGGACCACAGTATGGATAATGGAAATATGAATCGTGGAAATATGAATCACGACGCCTCGATGCACGATATGTGTGGCAGCATGAGTCCGCACGGTATGTCGGTACGTATGACCGTACGTATGACCGTATGATCATTGAGTACTCGATGCTGTTAATGATACAATTTGCGTTCTGCATTTCAGATGACATTCCATGCCGGCTATTGCGAAGCGGTATTATTCGAGAATTGGAAAATCTCGACAATCGGCGGTCTCGTCGGCTCGATGATCGGTATTATTATCATGGCGGCGCTCTATGAAGGATTGAAGTACTATCGAGAATACTTGTTCTGGAAGACGTATAACTCTTTGCAGTACAGAAGCGTCACAGTGCCCACCGAGAAGAATGTGGTGGCCGAAGATAACCGAGTCGTTCAGTAAGTTCTAATTTTCACGAGATTTATATAGTTACGATAGATAGATTTTCAAAAAGCAATCGCTTTTTCTATTCTTACTTGTGTAAGAGTATATTTATCGATATTGTTTTGTTATGAAGAATTTGAAAAGTGCTGGATGGCATCATGAGAGCGCATGATAATGAATATGGTTCAAACTGAAAGAGCAGTATTTCTGCAAGATTACTAAAATCCAATAAACGATATGCATAGCTTAGGTTGTAAATCTAATCACTAAATTTGTTTATGTTTTTTTATAGTATGGTTGGCGAAGTAATCCACAAGCAACCGTAAGTAAATCTCATGAGGCACTGAGAGCTTTTTTCTCAAATATGCTTTATTGCATTGACACATATTACTAATTAACGTTTATTAGCGGTTTGTTCAACAATTTTCATATTAATTCAATTAATTTTAAAACCGCATAGAAACTTCGCTTTGCATTTTGGTACGACTTCTTGTTAGATTGCAAATTATATCTTGAATATCTTCAAATCTTTAAATCTTCCATCTTCAAATATCATCTATTTGTGGTTTTAAGTTCGGACGTAACGAAATGTGTCAATTTGTGCAGGCCAACTATGCTGTCCTGGATGCATGTGTTTCAAACGTTTCTGCATATCGTGCAGATAGTCTTATCTTACTTTTTGATGCTAATCTTCATGACTTACAATGTCTGGCTGTGCTGCGCTGTGGTATTGGGTGCCGCCATCGGTTACTTCCTGTTTGGTTGGAAAAAATCAGTGATCGTAGACGTTACGGAACATTGTCATTAGCATTCAGTAAATTGCTTTAAATTTACTCTTCCTAAAAACTACATTCGCACGAAGTTGCGTGTGCTACTGTATTACGGTGGAAATCCGTTTGAATGAAAAAAAAAAAATTAAGAACATGCGTTCTGACCATTAAGGACCTATAGAAAATCGGTCTTCTCTAAACGCATGACACAGTAAATATACGAATATAGTAGAATGCAGCGACAAGCAGAAAATAATTTCTTTTAGTTTCATAATTTTATTTTTAATCTTTCTTTATCTTCAATCTGAAAAGAAACTTTTATTATCTCTGATAAAATACTCTAAATAATTGTACATAAATTCCATTTCACAGGAGAATGAAGAAAATACTTATTAAAATAGCATATGATTCGTTATTATTCATTTCCTGAAATAATATTGAAATCCTGAGATATATTTCATTATCACGAGCTTAAATCTTAAAAATATCAATACAAGCCTGAGTTGTAAATATTGTTAAGATATTCATGTGAGACTCGTTGCCGCAAAGGAGCACTTTTTCTCAATTGTATATTAATATTTGTTTTTATTACATTATGCTTGTGTAAAAACGTTTATCAGTAACTTTTTTTTTTTATACTTGGGAAAAGGCGCTGCTACATTATCTTGAACTAGTGTAAAAAAACAAATTATAAAATATCGTTACAAATTGAACCATTATTAAAAATTGTCATATATATTACTGTATGTAAATATCAGAAAATATTATTTCGAATAAAATAAAAAAAGGGAAAGGAATTTAAAAGATTTTATCTTCTCCCTAATAATTCTCGCGTTATAAATTCTCGTTCTCAGTTCTTGTTTTTGCGAGAATTTTTATTTGACAAATAGTAATCGAAGAACGCTTCTTAAACAAGCAGTGTAAGTTTATTTTTCCTTGCAAAATCGATCCCCAGAATTATAAAATTTTAAGGCATACACAGATATACATAGATCATGTACATACGAGTAAGTGTAGCCGTGAGTCTACTAAGTATATAAAAATAATAAATAACAATCAGTATGCGCATTTTTTCACAAATAAGACATATATGTGCAATAGTTCTTTTAAAAATAATTTGTAGATTTCATATGGAGACGGCGTAAGAATGATGCGTCTATGTATGGTAATTATGAGGTGAATTTATCACTTTGATATGATTAGTTTTACGCCCTTAACATCTTAATTAATGCTATATTTCATTATAAATTTATATGCTTCACATAGAGCTATATATAAAAAGCACCAGCATGCACACAAATTAATCCGAATCTCGTTGAAAAATCATTTTCTGTTCAGTTGCAACAACATTGAATATTCCTTTATGCTGTATACGAGGCATTTCTAAAGAATCAAATATCTCTTTCGAGATACACGGCTGTAGGAACACGTCGTACGCATCTGTGATCGTATAAAAAGCTTCATTTGCGTAATATTATTAACTTTGAGTGCCGAAGACGGTTGCAAAAATGTGTGCAAAAAGTGCCAAGCAGCGCGATCATGTTTCTCCTGTTTACGTCGAAAACTGCATTTCGTTTTTTGTCTCATCTATTTAATTTAACATTTGAGACTAAGTTCTTGAGCATAGTTGTACTGTTTAGTATATTCTCCATTTCTCATATAACTGAGAAATCAATTTAATTTTGGTCAGGACCTAATATGGATGCTCACTAGCACTCGACATGAAACAGGAGAAACGTGTGCGATAGCGTCTTCTTGGCACTTGTGGTTAATTTTGCCGGAAAATTGTTAGACATTGGATAGAATGTTCTAAGAACAGAAAAGCATATGCCATACTTTATATAAGCGTCAAATTCACATATAAATATGATATATATGAATATATATATCCATAGCAAGACTTGACTTAAAAAAATCATGTCGCTTTACTATTATTTTAAACATGTGTCGCAAGGATAAGGCAAATTTAGATATTACACAGCTAAAATTAGAATTTATACCTATTTCTTATTCAATTCATGATTATAATTATTTATTATTATTATCATTGTATTATTATTATTATTTTATCACAAGCCAATTGTGTGAAATACTTAAAATACTGTCAGTAGCTCAAGAGCTGCACAAAGCGTTGATAGAATAGGACGTTCAACTTGATCTTATATTTTAAAATTGTATTCTGGAAATATCAACCACAACAATATAATTATTTGTCTCATATACAATTTCTGTGGCTTTATTTGAGTATTTTGTTAAGATTCACGAAAAGAAGAGAATATAAGTCAACCAGTAAAGTCATCACTCATTAAATAATATCCTGTCCATTCATTCTTTAGAAATCTCAACTGTGACTTAAAATGTCGAAAAATTGTAACAACATATTCCATTTACACAACCGACGAAATTCTAGCGTCAATAAAGAAAGTTCATCGTATAATGAAGAGAGATATTGTAGACACACAAGAGATTCTCTTCAAATTACTTTGTTAGACCTAGAAACAGAGTACGCCAAGTGTGAAAAATCCACATCTCAAGTATTTGCAAAAATATATTTATCTCGTGTGAAACAAAAAAAAAATATTTTATTCACTAAAAACTTCTAACTTTACGCAATAAGCACATATTTCAACTCTATGGACTTTCATGAATAAAGTGATTTTCACAAATCACGCATCTTTTTACAAATATGTGAAAAGATAAGGCCCAATAAAGAAAAATAATTTCTTACATTTGCGCAATGTCCATATAGATCCTGAATAGAATAAACACTGTCTCTATCAGTTTCAATTTTCGATGTTTTCTATTTCTTGCAAACATAAAGAAACTTTAAACAATTGTTTCAGAGTTGGTTTGCATCAGATAAAGACTGTATATCATGACCATTTTCTTATCACTTATTTCAATTATCTTACCACAAATATAGATCTTAAGAAAAAGGCATCATGCATAACTTCATCGAACTATAAAAAGAAAAATGATTAAAATCACAAGCCGTGACCTACTCAGCGCTGGACACAGGCATACAACAGCTCGAACGATGCGGAGACTGTTGCTTAGAAAGATCAACAGTATCTTCCACTAAAGGCCGCTCTAATTTAGCTTCTAATCGTGCCCATGCGTCAACCGCTGCTCCAAATGCTGCCTCAACATTAGTGGCATCTTTTGCTGATGTTTCAACTAACGGGGGACTGCCATTTTCTAAACACCATGCTTGAGCTTCTTCTGTAGAAACTTGTCTCTCAGATTCAGGCACATCCACCTATTAAAAAAAAAAAGTATTGTTTTTTTTTTAAATAATCCAACAAAAATATTGTCAACTCAATAGCTTACTTTATTGCCAACAACAATAAATGGAAATGTGGAGCCTTCTTGAACATCTGCATACTTAAGAAATTCAGATCTCCATAGCGCTAGATTCCTAAAACTCGTTCTATCATCTATTGCATAGGTCAAGAGACAAATGTCCGAACCTCTATAGAACGGTGTTCTGAGAGTCTTAAACCTCTCCTGCCCGGCAGTGTCCCATATTTGTAAAGTATATGCTTCACCATTGATTTCAATATCTTTATTCAAGAATTCTACTCCGATAGTGTGAAAACTGTGCTCATCAAAGTGATTCGACACGAACCTGTTCATGAGACAGGACTTTCCGACACCACCATCTCCAAGAATCACTACTTTCAGAAGGATAGACCTTTGTGAATTTCGACTCTGGAAACTACTGCCTCTGGATGTATTTACTGTTGCTAAATTATTCGCTGACATTTTTCAGCTGTTGTTTTTCCTTGTGAGAACTTATCTTATGATTACACACAATTGTCTGACGCAAATAAACTGTCGGTTGACAAATATCTTCAACGTAGGTATTTAATAAATATTCATATTCATTAAAGCTTAATTAAACCTCATATAGCCTCTCTGCTGATCAGCTGATTTGGAACAGGGACCTTGTACTTTAGTTTCTCAATGCTTGTCAAACGCATTGAAGCAATGCATCATTGCCATTATCCACGATTATTTTTTTTCTCTCTCCCTCTCTCTTTCTCTCTCTCGCTTGTAGCAAATAACTAGCACATAAAAAGATCTTAATGTCTTTATTTTCCTTCGAGTATGCTGCATAACCTTCCAATTTAATCGGTAAAATTCCTCATTGATTTCACGACGGCATTCGAATTTCCAAGTGTCAGTGAAGAAAAGATTGCCTGGCGAAACAGATTCGCTTGTTTATTTTTCTTCGCGATTTTAATTCAATTATTGAACTTAAAACACGATACATGAGAAAACTGTTTATTATCGTACACTCACAAAGTAGCGATCGGAAGTATAATACATCCGTCAGCATGAATAACGTATTCTTGTGTTCCTAATGGCAGCTTGTCCGTGCATTGATTTTGGGCGGATTTAATAATAACACTCGACTACGAATATCCACAATTTTGGGTCATTTTCGGCTCAGTGCTCATTCTATACATTGCAGACGACAAAAGAAACGCCCATGTTGAAGTCGAGCAAGAGCGGCCCCTGCGATTATAAATAAATATCAGCCGCGGTCATGGATCTAAGAATATATATGAAACGTTTATATATTGCCAACTAGGACAAGGAAAATATTGATTAAAAAATTCAAGATTATAATTTCATTTAGTTAATTTAAGATTATACAACTTGTTTATTTTTTAAATTGAATTTGTCATGTGACGCTGTCATACATTCATCTTTTCTTTCCTCGCTATGTGTACACTCCATAGCAGAAATATCTTATTATATAAAGTTGCGTCATTTCAAATCTAGATATTCGTGGACCATGATTGCCAGAAACAAAATCTAAATGTTTAGATTTTGTTCATTAATTTACTTATTCTGTAATCTTATTTTATTAATATTTTAATTTTAGATTTAATCTTTCACATGTCAAACGTTAGAGTTGTCAATTTATCAAATACAATGTTAAGTCATGATGCACGAACATCTAGATACGATGCGTATTCTCCTAACTCACTGCAACTAGAGACTCTATATAAATAGAGAGACGCAAACTGAAAAGAAAATGGCTGCCGTTTGTTTGCAAATGTGTCTAATTGGTGCTTCTCACACTCGTATAGGGAAAATGGCAGATGTTAACCAATCACGGTCGCTGACCAATCACATAGATTGCGCTTCCCTATTTCTATTAGGTCTCTAACTTCATGTGATAAAGAATTTCTGCTCTTGAGTGTACATACATATTTCAATTCCTCCTGATTCCTTCAGTTTAAGCAAATGGCGTCGGACGGATGGGTATTGTTGCGTTGAATTTCACAAATCATGAATGAATTCTAAATACTGTCGCATATTTTTCATGAATCAAGGATATTGTTAGTTCTGGTAAGTCTGCTTTTGATTATGGTATATTTTATATAAATAGAATTGATCTTGCTGCGCAAAAAACCGCGTATTTTCCAAGACATCCCTTAGCATGTAAACAAACATTACAATATTGAGTATTATCAAGTTTTGAATCTTGATATTTTGATAAACTTCGTGAATATCATGAATCTATTTGTATGTTTTTTTATAATTTATGTTTACTATCATTGAATTCTGCATTAATTTTGTGTAGAAATTGCACCATGCTTTTGCTTTAATATCTCTAATAATCTATCGTAATTTTTTGTTCTTACCATCTTTTCAACGGTTTTTTATGAACTTATAGCTGTTGTACAATATTGTTTAAGTGAGAAAAATATATGTAAGCACAGTATGAAAACATTATGTCATCTATTTGATAGGATTTGTTATTTTAATGCTGTAAACTGCTATATTGTATATATATATGTATAATATGATTTTTATTAATAAATTATACTAATTTATATATTTTTTCAGTATTCTGCAGCAAGGTACATATCAAACATGAACGAAGTAAGTGGAGGAAAGCAAGACATACCTAATACCTCGAGCTGGGAAACTTTATCTGGACAATCGGTGCCTTCGTTGCCAACCATACATCATCATCATCAGACACTACAGCAGGACACAAATTCAACAGTAGCACAAGTCATAGTTCCTACACCTGTAAAGCTCCAAACACCTATATTAACACCAGTGCAAACCATAGCTGATCATTGTCCTCAACTCGGCCACATACAACAAACGCCTTTGATAACTCAAGTATGACAGGAAAAAGTCTTTATAAGATCTCTTTTTTACTAGTCTTGTGCTATCAGTTTATAATAAAATTTTATAATAAAATTATAATAAATTTTATAATAAAATTATTACAGGGCACTATTACACCACCAGGCAGCTTTCCGGAATCCGAATTATCCTTGGAACTGCAGCAACAAGGTTGGAAGAAATTTTGGAGCAAACGAGAAAATCGACCATATTTTTGGAATAAATTAACTGGTGAATCTCTGTGGGTAGTACCTTCCTTAAAACCGCAGGTATTGCAGACTATCTTAGATTTTTTGTATTTTGTAACAAAGAGTTCAAGATCTGATATATATAAATGTCGTACCAAAGTTTGATCCGATCACGGATCCACTTGGAATTTGCGGCGTACCTCCTCCACCTGGAAATGGAGCGATTCCACCTGGTACACCAGGTGGTACGTTGAAACGAAGAGCATCGGAAGATGGAGCTGTTCCACCAGCGAAAAAATTTGTATTAGCGTATGTGTGCAGTTTTACAAAATTTATAATGATATTAAGACACTTATTTTAATAAATAACTAATTTGTTTATTATTACATTAGAGGTCCGTGGGATCTGGAGATACCTACAAATGTTATAATATATGAGAGAGCACCGTCAAATTTATTGCACGTGCATCCGGAAGCGGAAGCCCTGCGCTGTGCCTTATTGGCAAAATTACGGCAATGTTATCAAGAGTTATGTCATACTCGTGAGTGTATAGATGCACCAAAAGATTCCTTCAACAGATGGTTGATGGAGCGAAAAGTCATTGATTGCGGCTCGGATCCATTGCTGCCAAGCCAATGCTTCCCTGAGATTTCAATGTCTATGTATCGTGAGATTATGAACGATATACCCATTAAATTAGTAAAGCCCAAGTTCACGGGAGATGCGAGGAAACAGCTGTCACGTTACGCCGAAGCCGCGAAGAAGATGATTGAATCAAGGGCGGCGTCATCCGAAAGTCGAAAAGTAGTCAAGTGGAATGCGGAGGATACTTTCCAATGGCTGAGAAGAACAGTGGGTGCGACGTTCGACGATTTTCAAGATAGACTCGCCCATCTGAAACGGCAATGCCAGCCACATCTCACAGAGACGGTTAAAGCTAGCGTTGAGGGTATATGCTTGAAAATTTATCACCTGTCAACGGAGTACGCGAAAAAGGTGAAAGATAAGAACAATCAGATTCTCAAAGACAACGGTCTGGGAGACGTCATACCGATAGGAGGTCCTGCTAGTACGCAGAGGAAAGTTTGGTGTTACTCAGTGCAATTTTCCCTCCCCCCACCGAGACTTCCGCAAGTGGATTATCTTCCCGAGCGTGAGCAAACAATGCTGCGCTTTCATGGTGATACCATGTGTATTAACAATACGCACCTTACTAAACTGGAACATTTGTACAGATACAACTGTTACGACGACAAGAAATTCGAAATGTTCTTACCGCGTGTTTGGTGCATGCTAAAACGTTATCAGACGTATCTTGGAATCAATGAGGGCCAAGCGACACAAATGGCTCTTCCTGTGACGGTTTTCGAATGCCTTCAGAGATCATTCGGCGTTACGTTTGAATGTTTTGCTTCGCCTCTAAATTGTTACTTTCGGCAGTACTGCTCTTCTTTTGCCGATACGGACTCGTACTTCGGATCGAGAGGACCATTTTTAGACTTTAGGCCAGTCAGCGGATCATTTCAGGCTAATCCGCCCTACTGCGAGGAACTTATGGAAGCAATGGTCAATCATTTTGAGCGTCTTCTGTCTGACTCAGCGGAGCCTTTGTCGTTCGTGGTATTTTTACCGGAGTGGCGAGATCCAGCTCCTAACGCGCTCATCAAACTTGAGGGCAGTCACTTCAAACGCAAGCAAGTAGTCGTACCTGCTATGGAACACGAATACAGACACGGATTTCAACACATTCTTCCAAAGTATGTTTATCAAATCACAAATAGATATAGCATACGCATAACATTGATATATGAATTGTAAAGTAACTTCTTCCTTTTTTTTTTTATTCCAGAGGTGAAGTGAATATCCGAGCGGTACACGGTACATTAGTTGTATGGTTACAAAATCCAGCTGGCGCTGCGCGATGGGGACCTACTGAAGAACGAGTGGAAGCTTTACTGGAGGCATGGCGACCCGGTCGGGAACGAGAAAGGGATAGGCAAGAACTTCTTTCTCCACCGAGGCAAACGCACCAACCGATACCATCAACGCCAGTACCTGTACCGACAACGCCAGCCACACCAACTATGCCACCCATACAGACACTACCCAGTCATCCTATATAATTGTTGAGTGATTCTGAAAAAAAGATACCACATATACAAATAGTGTCCACGTTAGGAGAATATCTCCGTGAATCTGATTTATACTTGTAATATAACTAGCTTTCTTGCTAAGGAAATTTATTTTGTATTGTAGCAGATAATACAAAATTTAAATCGGATAAAAAAATGTAAAAATGGAAAGAAATGTTAGTTAATTATATGCAGAGAAATTAAACAATATAGGAATAATATATAGGAATAATCTAAACCTTACTTTATAAACAGCAACACTTTTGCGCTGATGATAAAACCCCTCGACGACACGAATGAACATTTTTGGAAAGGATTTCATAGAAATCATGTAGTTTAGATAGCTGATGATTGATTATTCGGCCTCTTCATTCTATACCAACAAAGGAATGAAAGTTCTATTGTTCACTTCATTGATAAATAACAAAATTAGTATAAGGATTATATTAGGAGACATACTTAACGCATAGGTACAAGAAGAATTTACTTATCAACACAGAAGCACACATTACAGAAAGTCTAAACTTTGGAGTAGTGGTTAATTGTTGCTGATCAATGTGTTAGACTTTGTGATATGTGATGCTTTAAATATTAGATATACTTGCTATGCAAGATACAGATTGATACTATTGAAAATGTCAGAAAATTAAATTTACGGGATTAACAAATGTGCGGATATATGTGTGTACGTGCGAGTGGAACTGGTTGCCTATAAATCTGCTTATTTGTTTTCGAGAAGAAAACTTTTATCAAAAACTAGCGATAAAATTACTTTATCACATTTTTAACCATGACAATCTTTTTCTTTTATATCCAAAAAAAGAAACAAGAGCTAATTATGCATTTCATATTAAATAACTCTTTGACCGTGCAATATTTTGTATCATTTTGTAAGTTAAAAGGGATATATAAATTAAACTTTCTACAGGAAAAAAGTACATTCTTTTGGTTAATAAATATGTACATGTGCATCGTGTAGAAAACATAGTTATGATACAATTATGGTTTTGTCCTATTTCTTTTTTTTAAATATACTTCATGTATTTTATTATAAAAAAAGATTTTTTGAAATTCTGCAAACAATTAAAAACATGTGATGAATTATTACAATCTGTTTCAAGCATATCTGTATTAAATATTGCATATATTTGAGAGATATATCAATATCAGTTAGAATTGGACACTTATGGAATAACAGGGCTAGATGCACATTCATAAATAAATATATTACACATGCATTACTGAATTAGAAAATTGTGCTTAAGATAGTTTCAAACATGTTGGACATTTCTCACTAAAAAAAATTAATATTTACATCTTATAAATTTTATATATTTTTATTAAAATGCTATGGGGTATACTAGCGTATACACGTGCATACATGTGTGCATATAGATGCGCACATGCGCATGCGCGTACGTATGTATGGTTTTATTTAGGCATAAGGATATTTTTATGCTTTATATTACTGAGATAGTAAATAAGACAATACATAAGAGTTAAATATAAGTTACGTTTTATGAGAATATTGTTTAACAGGCAGTATATATAGACAATATACGATAGAATTGCACTATAACTTAGTAAAGTCTAATAAATTTTTATTGTAAATCTTTACATTTAGAGAAATTATGTTTAACGAGTCTAATGAGTTTATATGTTTAATGAGTTTTAAAAATTATTTTTTAAACTAAAACTTAATTTTATGTATCTGCACAAGTTTTTAAAATAATTATATTTAAGAATGTAAGATAATTATATTGCTTTTTGCCATATCATCATATGTTGCACAATGAACATTTGCAATTTTTTAAAAGTTAAGAATATTTCTTTTTGTAATTACCTCATGCATTCTATTAATGTCTGCTATTATTAGATGGTATCTAATACAGTATGCTTACTGTATAAACATAAATAATCCTTTAAGATGCAACTCTGCAAAGTGTTATGTTCTAAGAGAAACTTTAAATAAAGTTAAGGGCGGAAATTTATACAACTTTAGATATAAGAGTAATATCCTTAGAACAGCAATTGTGAAAGTGTATGTTATATTTAATGGAGCAAAATTCACAATATACTTGCTAACAATTTGTTAACAACTGAATTTTATTTCACATTATTCATAGAGAAATTACATTTTTCATTGTTACAGAATGAGTCAAGAAATGAAGTAATGTCTTTCAATAATACATGGGCTTCATCGTTTTCGCACATTAAATTGTATATAGAGAGATCTTGCGCATCTTTGATAATGTCTTTCAATACGTTTTTCAATGCTCGTAAATCAAACAAACAGTGATTACGTCCAAAACAATACTTATTAAAACTTATAACTTGAGTCTTTTCTATCATAGCATGTAAACGATTCTTAGCAATAAATGATATAAATTCTAGAAACTGTTTATAGTTCATGCCATAAGTGGCTTTTAGCATCAACTGACAATGTTCATTCCAGTTTTTCATGTCTTTGCAATCATCAACTTCTTTCATGACAGATCTTAATTCTTTTTTTAATGCATACCATACATTGGTGATATTACAGCCATTAATCCAATTATGATTAATAGAAATTGTATCCTCCTATGTGAAAAAGGGCTCCATTAATATATAATAATACTTTTCTCTTGCAAGATCCTATAATTATTTACCAAATTCCAAACTTGATGATACCATCCAGATGGCACAAATATAATTTCTCCTGCTTCTTGAGTTACTTCAAAATATTTTAACTTTTCACTATCGTACATTTTATATTTTGTATGATCATTTAGTTCCTCTGAAATTGCATCGTACGCTAATTGCCCATATAAATCACGAAGATGGTCTTCCTCATGCGGAGGAAACAGTAGCCATTTTTTCCTTCCAACTATATTTGCAGACCAGCTATACGATGTAAAAACATCTGCATGTAACGGAGTCCTGAACATTTTAATAGCAACTAAATCAGTCTTAATTCACAATCAACACAAGTACAATTTCAAGATTTTTAACAAGATTATAAAATTGAAAATATATTTACCATGTCTTTTTTGGCCCCATATATACAAACATGTAATCATCATTTAATTCAGGATGAGCAATATAATATTCATTCAACCAGTCAGATACAAAATACTGAGGCACTTCATAAATTGGGATATTGGGAAAGCTTTTTACACAATGCCAATCTTTGAGATACAATAATGGCATTGCTTTAGCATAACTGTTTTGTTTATATTTGATCCAATATTCCAAATAAGTTTCCATGCACATATCATCCTTCAATTGCGAGTTGTAAAACTTTCTGTTACAATCACTAACTGGGACAGTGGAATGTCCTGGGCAATAGAAATTATGTTAATAATAGTACGATATAATTCTGTTTTTTTCCACATACCAAATAATGTGCGAAGCACTTCAAAATTTGGTGCACCATCTAGTACCCATTCACGCCTACATGGCCAATTCTCAGTTGCTTGCAAATTGATAATACATGGTTTATTACGTATTAAATATTTAGAAAAGAAATCATTATAAGTCACTGTCGAGTCAATTCGCTCAACTATATTAGACACGCAAGTGTCCTCGTCGATGGAGTATAGACTGTTAATCTCAGTAAGCGTTGACATAACCAAAGTTTAGTCTTCATCGTTTAAACTAACATGTGTGAACTTATTATATTTACAACAAAATAACAATGATATTTACAATATCTTAACAGCGACTGACAGCGATGCACCTGTTCGAAAAGATGTTCATTTCTATGTCATTGTTAACGACTTATATAGAGTATACACTCGTGTTTTTCATAGGTCACTTTTGGATTAATTTATCAAATTATTAAAAACACTAAAAATTTACCATAGGTTCGCGTACTATAATTAAAATATCACGTAAACTACGTAAATAATCTACGTAGACGTAATTTTGAAATACATTTTACAAACTCAAATCATGTTAGCTGAGATTCAAACCTCACTTAGACATTCACATCCCCAATTAGCGAAAAAAAATAGCTACAACTCAAACTCTTCAAGATTTTTGAAGATTCAATCCATTTTGTTTAAAAAAATGTCTGGCTCGATTTTAGCAAACCAATTTCGATAAAACGAGCAAGTAGTACAAGTAAACGATAAATCGGACATCCCTTCTTTTCAATAGTACGACTCAATGTCAAGCCAAACATTTTCTTTTAAGTTATAAAATTTTTATTTAAATTATGTTTTTCAGTATTGTGACAACACTAATTAAGAAATGTAAAAACGGATGTTTTTTAAAGCATTTAATTTATTTTATATACTTAAATTATACATATACAGTGTAAAAAAATTTTGTTAACTTACTTTTGTTAAATTACTTTGATCCACCAATATTGGTCTGTTTTGTTTTAATAAATAACTATTTTGCTGAAGTATACTGTCACATATTTGAATGTTATCTAAAATATTTTGCAAACTCCAATGTTTTTTTAGTAAGGCAATATTCAGATCGAATAATCCATATCGAAAGCATTGCATTTCAGTGCATGTAGCAACACTATGAAGCTGCATTCCCAAGTCATGAACTATAGCTTTTAAATACATATCACTTTCGTTTATACAAACAATTTCTGAAAGAAAATATATAAAATGTACGATTATCATATTTATATGTAAGAGTAATTGTTAAATATTTACCTAATGTGAATTCAGGGGATGTAAAATCTGTACATTTTATAGTATATATCATTGGGATGTTTTTATCTGCAGGTCTAATTAGACCTTGTACAGCCAATTCATATGCAGCTTGACTTTGCATATCTAATCCACATAATCTAGACACATTTAAAAGAATGAATGTTAATTGTGATCTGTGGTATTAATTAATAGTATCTTACATATTTATCACATAACATACTCAAACATCTTTCTTTGATGAACAGCCTGCATGGAAGCACATATTTTGTCAATTGCATTGCGTCTTATAAATTTGTATGTAGCTCTTTCAACAATTTTTCCAGTTTTAAAATAAGTGTCTGTTGCTTGTCCCAAGATACCTTTAACTCTATAACTGATCGGAAGCTTGGAATCTTTCAGTTTGTGAATCAAGCCAGTACCACTGTTCACCCCACAGATCATAAGTCCTGACATATCTTTATGTAGATAATTAGCGCATACTAATTTAAAATCTTTAGGTTGATATCTTGGTCCTACTACTAATGGATGATCTGCATAGCTGGGAAATTTAATTATCCTCATTTTCTTTGTTGTATCACCTTCAATCTCTACATGCCTGATCGGTGGACGTACATACATATTGTTCAAGTCTGAAAATCAGATATTGTCTTATTTAAAGAATATTTTGACGGTATATATTACTTCAAGTTTCACACAAAGAAGAATAAAAAAATGTATATAATTAAATATCTAAATAAACAAGAGCTTAAAGATATAATTGTAATCTAACCTTTACATAGATTATAAATTATAGTATCTCGTGTATTAATGTTTGTCACGATGGATGGTTTGCAAATAGCAAATATGCCATTTAACGCTTTCCATGCTATTCTAGCATCGGAAACTACATGTTCTTTTGGAATCAGAATATTCATCTTTATGTTAAAAACTCAAGAGCAAAACTGTTTATTTTCACTCATAAAATCATTATGTATATTATTATCAATTTGAATACTTTTTATTTAATCTAAACATTAAACGATATAGCAATTACATAATTAGAATATTTTTTGGATCTAATTTTATATATTTTATAAAATTAGATAAACACTTGTGGGAGAAACAAAATAACAACAGATAATCACATTTCCAACTCTAGAGAACGCGATTTGGTGTCCTCTGGCCGCTGATAAAATTGGAGGACGCGATTAGGCGTTCTCTGGCCGTTGAAATTAAAGAACATGATTAGGTGTATTTTCCTTTCTACATTAGTTTTATTATTCTATGATGAATTTAAAAAATTGGCGCCAATCTGTTATACTCAAGTGAAAACAATTCGTAATTTTAATCTTTTTACAATCTTAATACAACTGGATTTAATGTGATTGTTATTTTCTATAAAATAAATATAACTTTGGATTCTTGCATTTCTTATTAGAATGCATACACATACTTCTTCTGACTGACCTTGTCATGGCGGATAAAAGCTGCCGGGATAACCTGTATCACTTGTCGTTGACAAAACACAGAGTAGTTATGAAAGAAACTGATATTCAAAATACGAATTAAAATAAACAGAAACATGGACGCCTTAAGTGTATTAATAGTGATAATTGTGATACATTGTTCATTATTCTTCTTTGATACATTTTTTAAGGTAAGTTACACAATTTTCTTATAATATCTGTTCTAATTTTATTTTTGACAGTGCATCAAAAAAGTTTGTACAATAGAATAATTATTTATAATATAAAAATAAAAGTTTTATATATGTATAAAATAATTAATTATTAACATTAAAGTTTTTTATTACAAAATTTGTATAGATTAATAAATTTTAATATAAATTTATGATATAAATTATACTAAATATAGATTATGCTAATTTCTGATATATTTTTCAGTCCTGTTCACATTTTCCATATCTTTATTTTTTGGAGAATACTGGTCTGGAAATTCAATTATTTAGAATAAAGTGGTTTACAACTGCTTTCAATCGCAAAATAATAAAATGGGGAACAGACTGTTCTAGATTTTGGTCTGCTTGGTTCAATGGCGGTGTCATTATAAGCATTGTGCTTTTACCTGTAGCTATTATTATTATTTTAAAGATGACACTCAATATATGGCTATCTGGATCCTCAAGTGATGTCAATTCAGGAGTTATATTGGAACCTATGGTATAGATTATAGAAATAAAAATATATTTAAAGATAAAAGATAATTTTCAACAATCTTTAACATAAAAAAGAGATTATATAAAAGCTGATTTTAGTTAACAAAACATAACAAAACATGATATACAGTAAATTATTTAATACTAAATATAATAGATTAGAAGTCTTTCATTTTTTCTATTGTACATTTTTATGTGTATTTTATGTTTATTATTTTTTATGTATTAGGTACCAGGTGTGAATATTCCATTCAGCGAAATTGGTTATTATGCAACAACACTAGCAATATGCAGTATAGTTCATGAAACAGGGCATGCACTTGCTGCAGCGAGAGAAGATGTTCAGCTGTTTGGTTTAGGAATCTTGATAGTTTTCACAATTCCAATGGCTTATGTACATATAAGCAATGAACAACTAGTTGCATTGCCATTAAGAAATCAGTTGCGCATCACATGCGCAGGAATTTGGCATAACATTATTCTTGCAACAGTTGCTGCAGCAATTCTTGTATTTTCTACGTGGCTATGGGCGCCATTTTATAATATTGGCTCTGGAATTTATGTGAAAACTATTCTACCAGTAAGTAACTAAGATCAAGCTAATGCATTTCCTGTATCATCAAATTTATTTTGTTGCTTTATTTGCAGAATTCACCTGGATTAGGACCAACTGGTCTTTCGGAAGGTGACATAATATACAAATTGAACAATTGTCCTATACGGCACAGTGATGATTGGTATGATTGTATGCTACAAGCAGTGCAACATTCAACACCTGGTTATTGTGTTAAACAGTCATTTATCCAGGTAGTATTTTTGAAATATACTTACCAATTCGTATCCTAATTACATTATTGAATATCTGTTCCATCCTTATATTATTTCTTGCAAGCTTTATTAATATTTTAATTAATATTTTATTAACATTTTTGTGTTTTTAATTTTGATATATAATTTCAGGACTATGACGAGTCAGTACCAGCTAAGCAAACAGCAAATGGAATTGTAAATTGTTGTACAAGTGATAGTGAAATGAGTGGCAGCCTATGTTTCGAATATATTGAAGGTCCGCAAGCTGCTCCTCTTCACTTACCACCACATTCTTGTCTTCCAGTAAGAACAATGATTAATCAGTCACAGAATTTCTGTCAAGCTAGTCATGAATGTTTATCTCAAGATACTCATTGTATGAAACCTTCTTTGGATAATGTGACAAAGGTAAGTAGAAGCAAAAAATGTAACTTGTCCGTATTGAATAAACTTTCAAAAAAAATTGCTACATTCAAAATAAATTTTTAAAACTTTTCTGAATAACAAATATTTTCTTTATATATTGCAGATTGTACAAATAAAGAGGAAAGTAGGTAAAGATGTATTATTCTTTGGTCATCCAGCAGGCATCTATAGGACTGTTGATGTATCAGATTGGGTACCAAAATATTCTTTTCTGTATCCCAAATTGCCCGAATCATTGACATTACTTTGCAAATACATCACGATATTCTCAGCAGGATTAGCAATCGTTAATGTTGTACCTTGTTTCTTTTTGGATGGTCAACATATTACAAATATAGTTGTGCTTTATTTATTGAAATCCATACCACATAATAAAAATATCAGAGAAGTCACAGTACTTACAATAACAAGTATAGGTACAATTCTTCTTATAATAAATTTAATGTATTTACTTATCAATAAATTATTGTAAGTATTTATTGTAACTAATTATACACCATTTCATTTTTTACTTTCATTTGTAACTTATATTCTGTGTATGAAATTGATACAAAATCTTATAATGCCCTTTTTAGATAGATAAATTTTAAAGTTACAGAAATTTTTAAATAAAAGTATAAATGAAGAGACTGGTTTGTGTAATGCAAAATTATAATTATATTAAAATTCAAGATTTTTACATATTTTATACTAACTACCAATACTTGCAATTATTTATAGAAAAATACTGCAAACTCTCAAACTGCACATTTTTAAAAATGTAGGATAGAAAATTTCTTAGAAACGCAATGCTTTTTTTATCACTTAGTTATATGTCATTTGTACCGGTAATTATAAAAGTGGACTAACTAAAAAATTTGAAATATATAAAGTTAAAATATCTCAAAAAATCATCAAAATATGATCAAAGTCCTTTCATAATCACCGATACATTTAATCACATGATTCACTGGAATGTCAATTACAGTTATTAAAAATCAGGCATATAAAATATTCACTGTAGAGGTAAGAACTAATATATGTGATTAGTGCAAATCTGTGAAGCAAAATGTACAAAGTTGTGCCATGCATTATTTGAGAGTTGCAGCAACAAATTTTTTTCATCTATTTTCACATTTATTGTATTTTGATTTCTATGTTATTTACCATAGAGATTGTTTTTTTTACAATATGATAAAAATGTTCCTTCCATATGAAAAAATACTAAATTTATTATCGTTTTGCTGTACCATCTGCATCCAATGCTAAAAAAAAAGATATTTTCATTATAAAAAGTAATAAAAATACTTATAAATAAAGTAGAATAGAAATATGAATTATAGGTTTATTAAGTAAGTTACTTAAAATACTTATTATTAATTTCAAGGTATCTAATATATCATAAACTAAATTTTTAAATCAAATACTTACTTTTTCCATCACAAGCAACAATTTTTACTTTGTCTACTATCGCAACTTCTTGAACTTCACGAAATTCAACATCATTTAGCATAAAAGTCCATACATTATCACAAAATCTATACGTGTTTAATTTACCAGCCTGTAACAGATTAATTTTAGTTTCTTTTTGAATGCAATAAATAAGCAAAGCTTACTCAAATATGACTAAATAGATATTTACCTTAAATGTAAGTCTTGATTTAACTCTAGTTGCAAGAGCTTGATTAATAGCTTTGTCAAATTGTAGCAACACTTTTATCGCAAGCTGTGGTGTTATTTGTCCATACTGTAATATATATTATTATTAAAATATAATATATATAATATAAAACATAGAAATAAAAATTGTTCTAAATTTTAAGAATGTAATCTCAAAAGTATATCACATTTATCATTACTTAACTAAATTTAATTTCATTAATTTTTAATTTTACAAACAATACACATATAAGAAAAATACTATTATTCTTGAAGTTTATAAAATAAATAATAAGTTCAATTAATGTAAATTACTTCGACTATCCTAATCTATCCACATTTTTTTATTTAGTTTAGGTGTTCTTAACCTATTTCGCATTATTACTGTTCTCACCTGTATCAGTTCATCAAGACTTTCTTGTAGCGTGTTTCCTAATGTTGTATTTCTGTATAATTGGTAAGACATTTTCCTAAAATCTATCGCAATAAAGTTAAAAGTAAAAGGCGTCAAGCATCAATCAATAATCAATTAAATAAAAAAACGTTTTCTTTTTTCACATATCTCACTCTGTATGTCAATACATATGTACATGTACCTAGTTCAGTGTGGCTCCTGTGTGTGGCGTGTGTGGTGTGTACGGACTAAAAGTACATTCAACAAACTTGCATAGGCACATAACATAAGGAAATTAACCAATAAGATGACTAATATAATTATATTTATGCAGTTTATGTGAATGTGCCTTAAGACTTCTCGCGCGCTCTGATTAGTTGACAAATTAAATTCAGAACTACCAATGCCTAACAAAAATTCTCCATGTTTATATTGGTGGCACTGCATGTTTATGTTTGCGGCGGAAAGAAAGTTAAAGAAAAGTTTTAACAATATCGCTCTTGTAAAATTCGAAAATTTTGATGATTGTAGAATAAGAATAAAAGATTAAGAAGAGCAAGATCAAAAGATTTTCGCAACAGAAGACTGGGAGAATGACTGCAGCGCTTTATAAAGTTCTGTTTATAAGAAAGAAAGGGCGAAAGAAAAGATATCTTTTCGACAATCACGTAAGTAAGATAGTTGCATCGATCGGATGCTGTGCGATGTGGGAGTGCAATGAAAAGCGTCTTTAAAAGTAGTATAGGTCTATATTAGGGGTGGATGTCGACGAAGAACGGGGAAAGGATAGGGTGAGCGTGCGCGAACGTGGGGTAGAAACTGTCCGTGAGTATTTATGTAGCTCGCTTCCCAGAAACTTTGCAAGAACAATTTATTACGGATATACGTGCCATTTGGAGAGTCAAAACTTTATTATAACATCGAGAACTTTATCGAGCAAGGAGAACTGGCTCCTCTTATCGATAATAGCGAGATGTGAGGGTTAAATTGAGTTTAACCAGTATGAAATAAAAATAGAAGTGTTTTAATCAGTTTCGGAAATACTATAATAATTGTGTTACGTTGTTGTTTTCGCTTGCTGTTATTAAAATTTTGAGCTCAGACAAAAGATTTGAACATTTTGCATGTTTGAACTATTCAAACAGTTCAAAGTAAAAAAAAAGAGCGCCTGATTCGCCATCTCGAGCCGCTTTTCAATATTTATCGCCAGTGCTGACAATCCATAGTTCATGTTATGTGCACTATAAGTTTTCAGCACTGCAGTGCGTTTTGGAATATGGCGTCGGATGGTTGGAATTATTCGAATGTAATGATTAATCTGTAACGTCGGTTCGTAATGTTGGAAGCTTTGAGCAGTTTGGACAGAAAGTTAAAGAAAATTGAAGTAAAATGGTACGCATAGGGAATAAAAGATAAACAGCCTTTTGTTTTTGCCTAATTTTACGCAAATATCAATATCAACGTTTTCAACCACGATCGCGACAAATATCTTATTTCTGACAAATAACTGCCGATTTATTAATTCGCGTAATTAATTACTTATTAAACGCCTTAAAACACAGATATATATTATTTTTCAGATTTAAGAAGCGCGGAAGCTTATGAAAGCAGTTTGGGTTTGGTATATATTCGCCGTGGCGAATGGCACACGAAATTAAATGCGCAATTTTCTTCTGCCGCTTGTTTGCCTGCTCCAGACTTCGCGTTAAATGAATCATAGCAAGGTACGTGCAATTTCGTGCTTTCCTCGAGTCTTTCTTTTGTTATCCTAGCAAACACTAATCAACAATAGTATAACATCAATATTAATATTTCCCACTAAATAACATTATTGCAATATAACATGTCTTGTGCATAACTATTATATTATTGAGTGGGAAATTGTAATATTGATGTTATATTACTGTTAATTAACTTTGCTAAGATGATATGACAAAGTCTACATTGGAAAAATAAATAATATTATTTGATAACAAAATACCGCTAGATTACAATCGCAATCGTTGTTTTAAAAAGTCTAAGATTCTAAGAAAATAATCTTTTTTAGAACTGTAAAAAAGATTATTTTCTTAGAATCTTAGACTTTTTAAAACAACGATTGATTGTGATTTAGCGGTATTTTGTTATCAAATAATATTATTTGTTATTTTTGTTTTAAAACAAAGTAAGGTTTTGTTATTTATTTATATTTTTAAACTTTTTTTATTTAAATTATGGCACAATGAGAAAATATATAATCAATTATTTATAATTGAAGAGCAATTGCTGCTTTAATTTTATAATTATTTAAAACTATATTTCAATATAAATTTTGTTGTCGAAACGATTATGTTGGGATTGAGACACCCTATAGGGAGAACGGCGGTAAGCGTCGGTCGTTGCCAGGGCAATGAATCGCAGATTGACGCAGGCGTCGCGACGTCCGGCCGCACGCTCACTCCCATTTTCCACCCCTTCTCTCTCCTGCCGAAGCGTGCCGCTGCTTAAAGCGTGCATTTCGCCCGGTCTATCCCCTTCCTTTTCCGTGACACAGACGGTTAAACTTGTGAAGTTTGTCGCATTATGATTTATACGGGAAAATTCTGTCAAAGGTGTTGACTTTGGAGATCAGAGCTATGTACCTCTTTAGATTGATTTTAAATTGCTATCCAATTATATTTCATGTTTTCGTTTGATTATGATGAATATGCATGCTTTGAGTCGCGGCATTCCTCTCTCGCATTCTACAATATTTTCTGAAGAACGCTCGAAATCAGCGCGATTGCTTTACAGCAGCTTCGTACCTTATATCGAAACTGTATATTTGTTTAATTGGTGATTATCTCACGTTTATTTTCCTTTGACGTGACACAACTTGCTAATCTTGAGATTAAAAGAAATCGAAGATAGGAAATCGATTGACGAAACATTTCTGAAGAATGCATATAATTTTATGCATACTTTATAAATTTTAACGCATAAAGTTCTTGCGTAAATTGCGATCAATGTTGGTTTTAGTTAATTTATTTGCTGAAAGTTTCGAACTTACATAATGCTTTCAAAATTAAACGGATGTCGAAAAGTTTTGAAAGGCGATACCCAGAAGCTGCCGCTTAAGAACTATGTAAAATTGAAGTTCAATATCCGTCGTTGTATAAATCGCGGATGTAGCGTTTCCGAAGCAGTTGTTTAAGTTGTACTACTTGAACCTAAAGTTCGAAGAATGGATAACGAGGCACTGTAAATAGGAGTGATTACGTCACTTGATTACATGCAAATTGTTAGCAGAGTTCTATTCTATTCTCTCGTATATAAGATGTGGAGCCTTTTTGATATATAATTAATATTTTTATACATTCAAGTGACATGCATTAACAACGAAAATAATTATCGAAATTTTCTACACATGAAAGATAGATTCACAATACAATAACACATAGAGAAACTTAGCCATTATTCTATACTTATCCGGAAATTTGCAAGCAGCTCTTCATAACTATTTCTTTTCAATAATATTGAGTTTTCGGTCAATCATCTTGCACAAAGTATTTTAAAAAGTTGTTTTTAAAAGTATTTAAAACTTAAATTGTTTATAATATACACTCTATACATATTTCAGGGTCCATTAAAATCGAAGTAAACTCTGAATTGTGTTCTTGTTATTTATCGAATTGCGCCGCAAGCGCGTCGTGCTACTCGAAAGTTTGCCCCGCGACTCCGCGAAACGCCTCGCGAGTCGCGTATATACGTTTAATACGTAGTGCGCATCCCCAAGGCAAGAAGTGAGTAAGAGAGAGAGAAGAGAGATAGTGGCAGGAGGGTGAAAAGAGCCGTACGCGTGGAATATATACAGCGTATGTCGTGTGGCAGCGTCGTCGTCGGCTCGAGCGGCGGTGGGGTCGGGTGGAAAAAGTTGGGTGAAACTTGAAGGAGAAGTAGAGAAGGAAGCGCACAGGATATATAGGGAGGAAAGGGTGGCACGCTCGTCGCGGGCGAAGAGGAGAATTGGAATGAAAGGAGGGAAATGGGGGAGGGGGAGGGGATGGATCTGGAAAGAAGAGGGAAGTTCGGCGGAGACGCGCCGTAGGCAATACATCGTCGGATTGCTACTGGTAAACGTAGAAGCGCGGAAGGTGATCATGCTTGGGGTGGGTAGTAGTAGTGACGACGACGGTGTCGACGGTGGTGGCGGCGATGGTAGTGGTGACGACGGGCAGGGTGGTAGTGGTGGAGCGGCGTGTCCCGACGCGCCGGGAAAGTTTCGTCGAGAAACGCGGTGTGCGCGGAGTGTGAGAACGCGCGGGGCGAGCGAGAAAGAGGAGAAGTTGGGGGTGAGTCGCGCGCGGAGGGAGAGGAACGGGATAGAGTTTGGAGCGAGAGTCCGGAGGACGGCAACGCGATGCGGAGGCAAGGTTTTCGTCTCCAGTTCCCGCTAAGCGGCCGACAGGTTTGGAACGAGCGCGGGTTACGGTGTTGGCACGCTCGCGTGACACGCGGGTTAGCGTGCATTATCTATCTCCTATATAAAAGTAATAAGGGTATATAGCGTGCGCGTAGTGGCAGTTGTGCTGAAGGAGAACGACGCACGTGGCACGCGCTGCGAAACGGCAGAAGCTTACCCGCGATGACTTCTGACCACTACCGGCTGATAATGCGGCCGGTAAAAACTTGGTAGCGCGGGAAGGATCGAAATCGCCGGCGCGGGTTCACGCGTGCTACCGCGGCGGTCGAGTTCACGCGTGGCACTACGGGCCGCGAAGGGTTGTGAGCGAGCGAGGTCGACGAGCGCGCGGCCACCCTTCCACCCGCCTCCGCGGCTCCACTCCTCCTTCGGCGCGTTCTCTTTCTCTTCCTTCTTCTCCTTTACCGGCTCCTACTCTCACTGCTTCATCTCTCTCTTTCTCACGCTCTCTACCCCTAGTGAGATATTGATTTCCCTTAGCTGACTCCCACGAGGGCAGGCGGCAGGCAACCAGGTACGGCTACCGTGCCGCGAGCAGACAGCTTCCGACCATCGGAAAGAAACTATCATATGCATTTGAGAATGATTCAATCTATATTAAGTGGATGGAACACTTTGTCTGTCTTTATTCCACATTGCCCCGATGGAACTTGCGTGTCTTCGCTCGATTCGGTTCGCTATGGAGGCGCTATTCCAAACATCCACCACGTGCTTCGTGCGCTTGTGCTATTGTTTTACAAGATTTCTATTTGAAACTCTAAGAACTGGAGAATTATTTAATGCGCTCGTAGCTATGCGAAGGGAGCTTTAAAGACACAATCGGCCTTTCATTTTACATATAATGCAACTCGTACAAATCACTTAGCAAGCTTTATTACTTATTCATAATTACTAAAGTAATTAAAGTACTATGTAAACAATTTGCTTTATCAATGTGCACCACAGACTATCAAAATATATATGCAGTAAAAAGTAACGTTGACAATTACATCTTACACGTTGCATATTGTACTTCCATCCTTGTGAATGCCGTTTTTTAAAAAAGTTCTTAAATAAACTTTTACAATTAGCGAGAAGAACGTATCTAGCATTCAACTTGCTACTCATTCGAGAATATTAGTTTCTTTCTAATTACGCTTCCGTTGTTTCGCGAATTAGCTCCGCTCTCGCGCTAGCTGTTGTTTGATAATCTGTAGGTGTTTTGACAAAGTTTTGCGAAAGTGCGCGGCCATTTTGGTGCCTGCGCATTGCCGGCGCCGACGAATTCGCGAGTGACATGAAACTTTTTTATTTACCGCGTTCGTGCTTACATAAAGACAGACAAAGGGTGGGTGGAGAGCACGGGGTAGCTCGGCGGTGCAGAGAGAACCGCCTTCCTCCTACTCGAAGTCTACCTACCCCATATGTATTTGCCAACCCCCCACCCGGTTGCTGCCGCCTGCCGCTTTTCAGCAAAGTTTTCCGGAGATCCTGGAAATTGCGAGAAACGACGAGAGTGAAGAGAGGTCGCGCGCGCCCACCGGAGGGGAGAAGCGACGATCGCTCATCATCCCCGTGTGCTCTCGCTAGCATCCCTTTTCAGCGGGTTCTAACCTAGTAACAAGTTTTCTCTGTTGGTAATGCTAGGACGCATGCCAGCGGTAAACGTGTCGCGTGCGGGCTGACGGAAGGGATGAGTAAAGTGGAGCACGATGTGAGATACAATTGTCGTGAGATGACTTGTTGTAATCGCATGAAATTCAGGAAAGTTCAGAGATGTGTGGGACGTGACAACGTGTAAATCGCGCGGATAGTTTGGCGCATCGTGACGTTTAATCAAGACGTTCGAGGTATGAATTATTTGTTTCTATTACCTGCTTAAGTTAACTGACGTTTAAGTTAGACGATAGATAAGGGTTGCAAATAAAGACAGCAGCACGTATGTTGCATGTTGTACATTTTGTTGCACAAGTTAAAAGTCGTTCTCTTGTGTCACGTGTATGCCTTCTCACTAACATTTAAATAATTCAAGAATTAGTTGAAAACAAATTTTGACAGTATTTTATATGTTTAAAATATGGATTTTATTTTTTTTTAAATGTATTTTGTAGATTTTTAATGCGCGAGTCTTTTACATATTAATATTCACACTTTAATATCAGCATCAAAGTCGGAAAAACTATCCCATTAATTTTTCAGTTATTTTTAATTCTTGATTGCTTTAAACATTCCCCGTTTTATCAAATTGAGACATAAAGATAAGTAAAGCTTGCAAGCGCGAAGTTAGGCAAACACTACATTTATGCCGCAGCAACCCAGGTCAGCTGATGGGCTGCTGGCCCGACTATATAACGTTGCTTGTTGTGAGAGTATCAACGCTTTTGATTATCGGGATTCCGTGCGCGCAGACTCAATGCGAGATTAATCCTCTGCGAGGCAACCCCTTTCACTACGAGCTTACCAATACCAACTCGTCACAGGTTCAAAAGTTTTCTGAGCGTCGAAAACTTTTGCGCTTCTCTTTTAGACGAACAAATTCTATTAAAAACTAAAAATTCTAATTTACACCGCACATATAATTACAGATTTTGCATTAACGAAACGCAGAAAACGATAATTAATTGTGTAAAATTGACTTTTAGTCTAAACTTTCATAAATATCACAGTCAACACAGAAAGTTCAAACGATCAAACTTAATTACACGTTAATTCAATTATGCAATACAATAGTTCATTTATATTTTGCGCACCTTAACATTTACGGTAAATTTTACATAGTGTGATATTTTAATTCCTTTTCTGTGAAGTCTTTCGTTAATATTTATAAAATGTTTATCTTAATAAAATGTTTTTTCTATTTTATGATACACCAGTCTACAAAAAATAAAAACGCTTTTTAAACGATAAAAATTCAGCAATTTTTAAACCGCTAAAACTCGATAAAAAATCATTGCAGGCGAAAAATTAAAAAAAAAAAAAAAAAAACGTTTTACAGCTTGAAGTTTCAAGTTTTACGTATTTTTACGTATTTTTTTTGTTTTGAGAATTTTTTATCTTTACAATTCTGAACGCGAAAAACAAATACATTGTTTTTTAAAATTGCATGATTTTAAGCTTTGTGATTCTGCAGCTAGAGAAAAAATTTTTCTTGGACAATTTAAGATAAGTACCAAAAACTACAATATTTTACGTATAAAACGCGTTTTTAAAAACTTTCCCACGATTTTTTTAACCGAGTTATGCAATTTTGAAACCAACTTTACATTTTGTGAAAAATGAACTTTATCACTGTCATAAGTGTTATCCAATTTGCACCACGTGGAGGTTGCTGGTTTAATTTCAAAGTCGTATAACTCGACCAAAAAAATTCTAAGCAAGTCTAAAAAAATGCATTTTGCAAATGCAAAATAATGTAGTTTTTGTCGTAACTTTTTCGAGAAAGATTTTTTCTTTGGCTGCAGAATGTTGAATTTGCATAAATTTAAGGAATAAAACAATGTGTTTTCGCGTTGAAGATTGTGAAAATAAAAATTTTTCAGAAATGGCTAAGAGCACATGAAAGTACAAATTTCAAGATTTAAGATGCTTTTTTAATTATTTGTTTACAATAATTTTTTATCGAGATGTAGCGATTTGAAAATATTGCTCAATTCTAAATGTTTAAAAAGTGTTTCCTATTTCTTGTGGACTATTCGATGCGCGTATATAGAAGAGAGATATGTGATATAATATTCTATAATCTCAAATAGCTTAAAAGTTATATAATATACGAAATCTTTTTTTGTATTTATTTTGCCTCATTATTAAGCTCGCATTGCATTTACGCTCTCGACATTTTTTTCGCGTGACATACAGCAAAAGGAGTGTCCACATTTCCTGCTTTCGCATACGAGACATATGAGACATCGTCATAAACAATATCTCGGTTGTGTTTAATAACACATGTGATAGTAATCCGATGTATAGCGAAACAGAGTACTAATTAAACCGCTATCATGCTGTCTTTTGCGCTGCGATTTCACAGCGCTGGCATTGTGCTTTGAATTCCATCAAGTGGCTGTTGGCCAGGTGCTTTTAGAGTTTCCCGAAGTGTGATCCTTTCAACTCCGATTCCCGGCGCGTGCGTCGTCTCGTTGTCGTCGCTGTCGACATCCTCGTTGACGTTTGCGTTGACACCGTCATAATTCTGTTCCCTGTTCTCTATTTTCCTTGAATCTCTAAGAAAACACAAATTGCAAGCTAATTTTGTATCGTTTTGTATTTTTTTACGCAATTATGTTTTATTCTGACGTGATTTTTTTTGCCCTTTTTGTCTCGTAAATGTGTCATTATAAGATGAACAAGAGAGAACCGTGTTGTAAAAAAGTAATTGCGTTTGTGAAAGCTTTTTTATTATTTTTCTTAAAAGTTTGCAAAAAATCTGCATATAGTCTTTTGCATTAAAAATATCTATAATTCTTATTAATAATGCATGTAAAAAAGTAATTTCTTCACAGTCTGCATTAACGTTTTATAAAAGAAGGTTACTCTATTATTTATCAATGCATTAAGCTTTACGCGTATATTCGTATCGATCCACAAATTACTTTTTGTTTAGCGTATGATTAAAATTGTATGATTAAATTATATATATAAAAAACGCGACTCTCATATCTATTTATACTGCTAAGCTGTTTTAAATTTGATATTTTAAATTTTATATGTATCAATAGTGTATTTAAAAAAGAAATACGTAATACAAATAATAGAAATGAGAATCATATTGATTTTTCAATTCATTATAAAGTTACATATATTTATTTGTTATACTGAAAAATGACGATAAAAATAACGATAAAATAAGAAGCATTTTCGTGAAAACTATTTTGAATACAAACCGCAATTTGCTTCTTATTTTATTTCAGTTCAACACAGAATAACATATTTTAATAAAAGATAGCAAAATGAATGTAAAGCAACGAGACAAGAATAAAATTTAAATTTAAAAAGTGCAATCAATGTTCTAGCTACTCATTTATAAGATCTGAATATATGAATAAATAAAACATTATTTTATGGAAATGTTATTTTATGGAATAAACAAAACTTATTTCATGAAAAATACGATTGCAATAGTTATAAATGATATGCGTACATTGAAATGGTTTTATAATGGCACATTTTGAGAAATATATTAGCAGAACTGATATAAAAAAGAGATTACACTAATGTAAAAGTTTTATGAAGAACAAGTAGTTGGAACTACATAAGTTTTCTGAAATCTTGCGTTGCGAATATGTTTGCAAAGATGTCACGGAGCGGATACTCGTGACGAAAGTTAGAATCCTGTCGTTGAATCAACACGCTTTTTTATGAGCTCAGTTAAACAACATCAAATAATGTCGTTTTACGATTCTCATTTCTCTTCTTTTAATCTTTATATCCGATGAATATCATTCAGAAGTTTAGAATGCCGGAACTTCACCAAAACGCAATCTTCCGTGTCATACACTTCGCCGCTGCGATAAGGAATATCAATCTGTCATAGTTATCCGTATTTTTCTGGACAATTTCCCGAACAGATTTCTGTTTTCGAGAACGTTTATCACGTATAATAGCTTTACGATGAATTTTGCCAAAAATGCGAGTCTGAATCATTAAAGTCTTTGTTTGCCGGAAGAACTGACATTTTGAAATGAGTGATAGCAACGATATCTCAAGCTTCGGTATCCGCTTGGTGGTCGTCGTTGTGCTGACTCTCGGCGAAAAGACTCGAGATTGTCGAGAAGTCGGATGTCGGGACAGACGAATGAGAAGTAACGGAGAGTCAATCGTGCGGTTATAATAGTTACGCAAAACTAGTCAGAGAGGTATTGACACAGCGTATCGGATGCCCGATCAACCGAAACTCTTAGTTTGCATTTGTTGAAAAGAGAAATACATAGATCGAACGGTGAAGCATAGAAAGAGCAAACACATATCCGGGATGATTAATTTTTTACTTCTGTTATATTTTGTTTCCAAATTAGAGAGTGATTTTAAAAATGTTTTTTACAAAATAGAAAAATATGAATCAAATTACAAAGCTAACTATACTGTAACGAAATAATTTCTCCATTTAATTTATAGATCGAAAGTATGCTTTTTATTAATTTTTTTATAACATTTTTGTTACAATTTTTCACGTATTTAATTATTAATATTTGAGTAAAGAAATTTTATTTGATATGCTGCTCTTTACTGATCACGAGACGCATCGAAGGGGATATAAATTTGAAAAAAGCATTGCTCAATAATAATCAGTTTTATATCGACGATACGAATGTCGGCTGAGGCAATGATTTCGTTCTCACGCAGTTTCGGTCTCTCACTCTCAGACTTGCAGTATCGGCTTCAGCCCCACCGCGGCAGCGAGAGTGGGGAAGTTTACGTCGTAAACTTCGGGTCTTAAGGGTGGAATTATAGTTCGCCGGAGCGAGCACCGCGCCACACAGTTGTTACCACGACGAGCGCTTTAAAAGTTGGTCCCGGCTCTTCGTGTTGGTTCGAGGGGAAGTAGGGAAGTGGATTCCAGGAGGATGGGAAGAGCAGAACGACGTGAAAGGAACGAGAAGGGGGGTGGAGACGGTTAAGTTGCCAGGAAACTTTGGTAAAACTGAAAAGTTAATTTCGTCGTGTTAAATTACTCGAGCGCCCGGGCATTAAACTTGCAAAAGTTGGTCGGATGACTGAAATACGTATCCTCCCTTCTTTCCTCCTTTTTACCTTGCTATGCCTTTCTTCTTTCCTTCCTTGCTCTTACCTTTGCTAAATGATCTAAGACGCGAATAGAGAGATAGTGAGATATGATTGCTTGTTTCGCAGAAATAAGAATGCTGAACAAAGAAGTTACATATGCGTGTTATTTAGTAATTAATACCAGTATTTGATAATGAATGTACGGTAACTGAAATAATTCACTATATTTTATCCTATTCAGGGATTTACAGATAAATTATAATGATATATTTAATGTTGAAAAACTTCAAACTTGCAGCAAATAACTTTTTTCTGTTAACAAAAATCAAGTTTAAATTATTAAAAAAAATTGATGAAAAAACTTATAAACGAAAAGTAGCTGATGAAATTAGAGAGATACCTTGACGTTTAAGATATCTATAAACTTTTATGCTTAAACACCTGCTAAAATAGACTGTTCCGAAGTGGAATGCCTTACGAAATCTGCTAAACGAATTTATCGAATGTAATCGATCACACTTTATTTAATTCTTGGGTCGTGTTCCAATTCAGTTGAAGTTCGGAGAAGCGTGATCGGATAACGGGCGGTGCACGTTTATGGTAAATCGATGCAGAGAAAGTAGAAAGAAGTGGAAAGAATTGAGGTATCATATTGCAAAAATCTATTTATTCGCGTGATTTTTATCATAGATACAGTGAATTTTTTATTGAAAGATCGTAGATAATTTATGGATTTACCGCAGTGTGTTTGAATCAGAATGTGCTACGATAACAGCAATCAAGTATGAGGGTTTTCCGAAATCATTCGAATATTTCGAATATTGGAATATGTTTTAATAATGAAATTGAGAGAGGAAAAACTATAAAAAGAAAGAAGTTTTATTACAGTAACCAGAGTTTTATTATAGTAACAAAATCAATGTTGCTTAAATCATTTTAAGACGATTTAATAATTTTTATTTATAATTGCTAATTTAATTATTAGGGAATATATGTATTTAATATTAAAAATATAATGCAATAACTGTCTTGAAATATTCACGTCAAAAAATCTGAAGCAGTTTATTAAAATATGCAGCGGTGATTGTGTTATATTATCACTCTGGACGTATTATACATCAATTTTAGAAATTTTTTATTTATAATAAGTACTGTCAGTCTGATATCAAGGACGATTAATTGCAGTTATATGTATATACTAGAGCTGCGTTCAATCGATTTGCACGAGCGCATGCTGCGATTCTGTCGCAAATCAAAGCCAGTAATATTTGCAGTACATCTACTGTAAATTGCATCAAAATTAATTCCAACGCATACACTATATATGCTCCATAACTAATATCTTATTACATACTCTTATCAATTAATAAAAAAAAAATAATTAATGAGATACAAATCAATGCATTGCTTTGATTATCTCTATAGTCGTACGCTAAGTTATGTTGACAGTAGATGAATTAATTATGTTTTTTCAAGAGAAAATAATATTAAGACAATTAATAATCTACTTAGCGGATGTAGATTTTACATTATTATCACGATGAATGATTCATGTTAAATGGATAAACTTTTTTGCCTTTTTTGCTGATGCGTTAATCGGTAAAGCCCTCGTCGATACATACACGTGCTTGCAACTTGCACTGGAATGTATATGTATATGTGATGCGCGCGCAATGTAGCGCGTGTGTAAACACGTGAGAGAAAGCAAACTTTTGCGACGGTTATAGGGGGTGAACTACCACATCTACTCGCCTACATGTACGCGAGATGTGCGGATTTTATGAGTATTATGCAAATTTGTACCAAAAATATTTTTTTTGCGAATTACTATCGATTTTTTATGTGCTTTTAAGACTCGAAGGTACAAAATTTATTAATTTTGACGAGTACCTCTAAAAATATCAATAGAGAAAAATAACTAAGTTGATAAATTAAGCTGCATATGTGACTCAGTTGAATAGTTATTCAATTAATACAGTTATGATTTGTGAATCGTATAGATAATTTAGATTACATAAATTTCTAGGAATGCTGATAAATATTATATTTGATTCTCTAATATATTTTGATATGTTATTGTATAATTGACAATTTTGTAGCTTATTCAGCAGCTGCGAGGGCTCTAATATTTAGATAATTTGAATTTGGATATAGGAAAATCAGTGTCGCGACGGTATAGTGGTGGGAGCATGCGCGCCCGCTCTGTCTCCCTTTCGAGTTGGTTGGCTGTCCTTGTCTCGGAAAACTTTCCTGTGATGAGCTTTGTTGGTCGTTTCCCCAGCAGGACGGAAAAGTTAAATGCGAAAGTTTTATCCGATATCCAGTATCTCCGCGCGCCTGGAAAAAGGTGTCTACACACATGTACGTTCAGGTTGATTATAGTAGTGTATTTGTTTTACAACATTTTTGTTAATAAATAAAATTAGCATGGAAATAATAAAACAAGATTAGGTTAGATTAGATTTTATTACATATTTTGATATAAAATTTGAGTATTAACTTGCTGCTAACTTTGCACAGACAGCGTAATAAATTCTCAATTACGTGCAATCAACTTTTATATAATTAACTATACACAATGATGCCAGATTTGTACTTCATTATTCGTTATGTAAAAGAAATAATTCGATAATTTGATATAATGATGGAAATATGTCATGCAAAATTTCGAGATAACTAAATTGCTCTTTTCATAATAGCAAGCAGCAAGCTCGTTATTAAAGGTTAAATTTATCTGTTGGCAGGATGGCGTTCAAAAAAAGAAGACAGAATCACTCAATACAGCATCTACTCGAGTTACCCTCAAATCGGGAGTCGAAATTACCACGATTTCCTGCGAAGGAGTATATCCAACCAACGCCGTCCATGCCAACCCCTCGCCAAGTTCCTGTAACTGTACTACATCCCTCTCCAAAAAAGGTAAGTGGAACACGAATAATTTACTGATAATCCACGACGATGTCGTAAAAGTCGTGTAATTTCTGCGAAATGATCCGTAGAATATCATCGACGTAGGACAATGTTATCCATTTGTGAGCGCGAATTGTACGCGCTTATGCGGATAATATTCCACTGAACAAATAATCGAGTTTAATAATAGAACCTCGAAGAAAAAGATTGTCCTACTTTTTATGAGTGACATAATTATTATATCCGCGCGCAGACGATAACCATTAAAGCATTAGTTTGTTGAGCTTCTCTAGTTGAACAATTATTTTCAAAATTTTTTTACATAACAGTAAAGTATTTTCAATGAATTATTGCGAAATTGAAATCTTTTTACATACTTATGACAGAAAAATACGTATTTTTAATTAATTATTAATTATAATGGAATGTGAAATATTTTCATAAAATTAAAATTACGTCGATAAAAAGAAGAGAAGAAAAAAACAAAAACAATTTTCACCGTGATTTATCTAGGTGTTATCTATCTAGGTGTTACTCATATATCGGACATTTATGATTTCTATTTTAAACTTATTTTGCATTTGTCAAAAAGATACAAAAATAGGTCGCAAATTTGCGGCGACGAAAAAAAAACGAGATCTCTGAGGAACGTAAAATGAAAGGATTGTAACGACATAAACCGCTGACGTTTCATAATGTCACAATAGCTTTTTTTATCGATTATTTTATTTCATACGTTAAACAATGTTATTACTTGTATAAATGCTGACGCAAGCTTGAATTCGTGTATGGTAGAAGAGATAATTTTTACTGCCATCTCAACGATCCTATACTCTTGTTAATAGCTCTTTTAATGTTATATTATTTGTTGAATCGGAGATTGTCGAATCGGAGATTCAACAAATCAATGAGAGAAATAATAAGTCAATGGAGTATTTGTACAATGCTTAAAAATATTTTGAAATTATTAATTCTAAAAAATAAAATATGATTTTAATGAATGATATCTGAAACCATCCCAAGTAGCAAGCGGTCATTATTTGATGTTATTTTGTCGTCATAATAATCAATTATGACATAATGATGAATAATTAGGATGACAAAAAGACATTAGATAATAACACCTTGCTACTTGAGATTATATTACGTATTATATTCAATTGTAAGTTCTTTTATACTTGTTGACAAATATAATTCTATTAGTTACTAGTTGGTTTTACGTGTTAAACTTTAATTGATAATGTAATTTTGAATTTATATTTATATCTCTTATTTTCAATTTAAATATAGAGTCCATTAAAATTAAATGCGATTCTATGACGCTAAAGAAAAACTCCGTTTGGTGTCATACAAAAAGGTTGAGAATATACAGAATATTGCATTTTAATTTAGGAATATTTGGCAAATTAATTACATATACAGCAACATGTAAGCACATTTTTTTTGTGTTACTGTGTCACATGTTACATGTTTGCACATATAGTCACATATAGTCACATATAGTAGAATTCTGCAAAACTCTTTAAATATCTTTTTGTTTATCCAATATATGATTGCGTGCATCATATTTTATTCCATAATATCTATTGTATGACATTATTTCTGCTAAATAATTTTTTATATGTTATTATCAATACTTTGAGACTGGCTAGAAAGAAAATATTGTTATCTTGAGTGATTATTTCACTTCCAATTTTATTACCGACCGATAAACAGGATATCTTTACTTATTCTATGTTGGGTGAGCTGATGGTATTTCTCGAAGTGGTTGCAATCGATAAAGCGAAGGCAGCTGCCGACGAAGTAGAGTTCTTCTTTAGCGTCATAAGATTGAATTTTGGTGGTCTCTATATTTAAATTGAAAATAAAAAGAGATCTAATTGTAAACATATTCAAAATTATTATCAATTAAAGTTTAACACTAGTGGAATTATATTTGTCAACAAGTATTAAAAAACTTACAATTGAGTATAATAGTTCTTACTTTTTTATAATATACATTTATGCTATTATTTAGAATATAGTAAAATATATAAACAACAAAACGTAATTGCAAAAGATCTGTCGCGAAAGTGAGGATGGATCCTTTAGGAGTATATAATTTGAAATCTTGTGAATAGAGTTATAGCAGAAGCGTCTTGAACATACGCCAGATGATGGGCGGGGACTGAATTTATGATGATTGCATAAATCAGAGCTTTCCTCTACAATAATCATAATCTATTGAGATAGTTGCGGGAAGTTAGCTATTTAGCCGTCGGCAAGGATCGAAGGAGGCAAGATCGAGGGGTTGCCTCGCGCGGTTTCTGAATTAAATAAAGCCCTTGCTAAAATTGAAGATAGGAGGAAGATTTCCTAGGAATTGTTGCCATATTTGCTTGATAACAATTAATATTTTTAATAACATATATAGAGTTATTTAAATTTTTAACTTTGAATAATTATTTTGTGGCAAAAGTTAAATTACCGCAAGAATTTATATGGAGAATAATTTTCTTGTGTATAGAAATGAAAACAGAAATAATTAGATTTTAAAATATTAATATTGATTAGAAATTTTAGTAACGAGGAAGTTAACAGCTCCTGAAGCAGAGGGTGCCACTAGTAGTATCTTTTATTGTAAGGGTGCTTCCGCAAAGATGACTGAACCGCACAGTCATTTGGGCTTAGCAAACCCTCGGACTTGAGCTCACACACTGCGGTCATACATACACACATACACTTAAGCTTACATTTACACATACAGACAGTGATGAAAAATTGTAAAAGACAAACAGTTTAAAATCGTGAATTATATTCGGATAAAGTACGTCAAGTCTCGGTGTAAGGGTCGGCCAAAACAGGCATAGCTTTTATCGGCCCTTTATATTTATATTTTATATCAATTTAGAAAAAGAAACTTATACGAGTTTCGTTTAAATTATAGTACGTATTAGAGTACGTTTAAATTATATTTTTTTACGAAATATAGGAGTGTAATCTAAAATATTTGGAATATTAATAATATCTAAATACATTTTTTTGTTACTGCATAAATAGAGAATTGAATTGTCGTTCAAAATAACGAATAAGATTAAAAAATGATTACAATTTCTCTAAAGTTTAATTCTTGCATTACAATATAGTCTAATATTATATATCTATATCTTTCTCTAATAAAACGAGATCTCTGATGTAATTTATGAACAATTTTAAATTATCATATTCAAATTTTCAATTCTAAACAATGATCATTTTCATATCTCTTTTAATTTAAAATCTTTACTTCAAAAGTATACAAAAGAGTTTCAATGATTGTTTGAATGTTTTATTCGATATGGTTCGCGTTATACCAAAAATTTAAAGGGTTGATCATTGTTGCACGTCTTATAATATGAACGTACGATAAGCGGGGCAAACAAATAAACGGGAAGCAATTGGGGATCGTACATTGTTTAATACTTTCATAAAAATAAGTGTCACTCCGAAGTTACTGAAATTGGCCCTAATGCACTCGACTTTAGTGGTCGGTGACGTTAAAACGCCATTAGCTTGCTTTCTCAGCTATGAGAAATCGACAGCTGACTGTCATTTCTGAATTTTGCTGGTGATTTCTTTATTAACGGCATGGGTCTTTGCACGGGCGGTGCTGGAATATTAATGCCGGAATCTCCGCTGCTTCAACTTTCATGATCGTTACGGCTACGATTACGATTACGAGCAACCGTTTCTTTTAAAGGGGAATCCTTATCCTGCGCTCTAATATTCTTTCGATGTAAAAGATAATCTTTTCTATTTTCCATAAAATGATGACGCACATTGCAATTAAGACAATAATTACATTTAAATGTAATTAAATAAATAGTAAAAATAGATAATAGATTAATTGATGATATTATAGTGTTAGATTGATACAAAAGGTTTATTATATTTGTTGTGCAAAATTGAAGACAGAATTATAAGATTTGAAACTAATTTTTATTAATTAAAATAATTGCTATAGTTTTTTATCTAGAAATTTTTTCTTCGTCTAATTTAAAAGATTTTGAGCTGAAATAGGAAATTAAAATAGATTTTCATGGAGAATCGACAAACTTTTTGCGCTAATTAAACAAGTAACAATTGTTAATTATTTGTTAGGCTGAAGAAAAGGTAGTTAAAACATCGATTTACTTTTCAAGAAAATAAACAGATTTCTGTTTGGGTAGGCGTTAATCTCACAGTAGGTCGGAGAACACGGCGTTAAAATACCGGAAAGCTGACCCCAAATCCGCTTAAGGATGCGTATTTATTACTTACGGTCGTCTTGTTTTGCCTCGATCTCTGACGCGCCTTTTCCATACGCGCGATGTAGTAGAAACAGTATTCGATTTTATTTTCTGTAGATACGAATCGATTGGTATCATCGATATGCTATTTTTATTTAAAGATAGTTTATTTGTAGTCGGAAATTAATAGATCGATCCTCGAAATAAGTCAAACGTTTCTATATATATCGAGTTTACTCATACCGAACTTTTTGACATCTTGTACTTTCCACCGTCGTAAGACACCAACCTTCCAGGTTGCTGCACTCGACTGCCAAATCGATAAGTTCTCTGGAAATATGCTTCTTTGTATTTTGCAAGCTACCGTTAGCGAAAATCGCTTTTTCGAGGGAACCTGGAAGAATGAAACACAGTACCTTTTAACTTTGTCGAGCTGTCACGTTGATCGGGGTTAGAACGAACCCTCCAATTCACTCGGTGGGAGTAGCAACGCGGTTGAGTGAATTTTTATGAATGAATGCGCGAGGATACGCAGATCCAAGGCTTCGGAATGTGCACCCTATTTTCACCCCTGTACTTATATTTACGACAGTGACTCTCAGTTAAAAATTTTATCAGGCGTTAGTAATGAGGCGGTCGGGCGAGCCAATTTTTTAAATTAGTCTCGCTACTTTAAGGGACGAAATTCCGCATTAAAAATAGAAGCTTCCGGAATATTACTTTGATCGTTAATACTTCCTAGCAACGTGCTTTTTTTATCGT